AACGGGGCATGCGATATAAGGTGCATGTATGACGCCAAGATTGGGATCATGTTGGTAGATTCTCGGCGAAGAGAGGATGTGCAAGGTTGAGTGCATAGTGAGATTTGCCAACATGAAGAACTAAATGATCCAGCGATCGCTTAAGTTACATGTAGGAACTGTGGTGCATCCAAAATTGAGTGCCATCTCTTCATGACATTTTAGATGTTCTAGAAAGCTGATATACTGCGACCTACCACACGACGTCACATGTGACATAGCACATGAAGTGCTGACTCGAGAGCATACATTGGCCTGTGAATGATGACAAAAGAATATTCCTCAGGAGGAGCGATGTATGCACTTGGGATTTGCAGTCACCTGTGTGCTGTGACTGTAAATCCTAGGTGCATGGCAATGAACAGAGATGTCGCATCTGAGTCTGACTTTCGCCTCGAATCTTTTAAATCACTGATTTCCTGATTTATTTCATTACAGAGGAGAGGTAATGCCTCTCAGTATTGTATAACCAGAAGACAAAGTGGGGAAGAAATGTTTTGGGTGCCCAGTCAAATCCATTAAGTAATCGACTCTGTTACGGTGCACATCTGGCATCTCTGAATGCCTCTATCCCGGTTGAAGGTTTGCGCACGATTTCTTATTACTCAGGGGGCACAGTGGGTTACCACGCAATGATAGGCAAAAATATCCAGTATCTCAGGTTCGTCCAGAACATAGGAACCCAGCCTCATGGAAATTCAGCAAAATGGCATTCCAATACTGTCAAAGTGACAATATTGAATATTTCGTAAATATTGTAAAAAATGGGACAAAAATGGTGGACCAAGAAAGACTGCGATAATCTCGATTTGGCATAAACCCCCAAGTGAGACTATGTCCCAGCAAAATATGATGCATCATTTGCAACTAGAGCTCTGATCCCTTGTAAGTCACAGGGGGGTAATTCCAGGGATGACTGAAAAATTCGCACTTTAATCACTTCACAGGGCTGTATATTTTTTTATTGGCATGTGACGGCACTATTCTGCTTTTTCCTGGGAGTTGGTACTTGTATTAGGAATAAAACCGTGGGAAGTTTATTTTCAGGAAGTTGTAGCAACATGACTGACAAAAGATTTCTCGTGTTTCAGAAATGGCTACTTCAGGCATTAGGAACAAAGTATCGCCTGGTTTTACTTGGCTGCAGGAAAGAGTGAATCTGTAGAGTTACAAGATTGATTTTACAAAGATTTTGGGTTCAAATCAGTGAAACATCATATATAATTCCCTAGATGACGCTGTGCGGAGACGTCATGATCGAAGGCGACTTCCTGCACTACCCTATTATTGCTTGTTCAGCCCACTGGGTGCCCCCTGAGTAATAAGAAATCGTGCGCAAACCTTCAACCGGGATAGAGGCATTCAGAGATGCCAGATGTGCACCGTAACAGAGTCGATTACTTAATGGATTTGACTGGGCACCCAAAACATTTCTTCCCCACTTTGTCTTCTGGTTATACAATACTGAGAGGCATTACCTCTCCTCTGTAATGAAATAAATCAGGAAATCAGTGATTTAAAAGATTCGAGGCGAAAGTCAGGCTCAGATGCGACATCTCTGTTCATTGCCATGCACCTAGGATTTACAGTCACAGCACACAGGTGACTGCAAATCCCAAGTGCATACATCGCTCCTCCTGAGGAATATTCTTTTGTCATCATTCACAGGCCAATGTATGCTCTCGAGTCAGCACTTCATGTGCTATGTCACATGTGACGTCGTGTGGTAGGTCGCAGTATAT